AACAACAATTAGCGCTCAGGCCGGTGCCCTCGGAGCGAAATTAACTCGCGTTCGATGCCGTCTGAGAAATGAGCGAGCTTATAAATATTTCAGATACTGTCTTTGATCTTCCTGATGTTGATACTAATGCATACGTAAACACAGAGCTAATTGAAAATATACCTCCATACGTGTCGTGCGCATTTGTTCATGTACAAACCTGTCTCTTTGTAGCCACTAATTAAGATCCGTGAATACACTTTGGTTTTGCACGTAAGGCAACTGAAAAACGGCGGTACTAATTGTTGCCCGCATCTAGTTTCATTTGTGATGACATTCTCACGCCATTCAATCTTCTAGAAACAATGAACTCATTCTACGTATAAATTAAATTTTTGGATTTACGTATTGTTCTGTATTGTGTGTGCGCTAAAAAAACTCAATATACATTTCAAATCAAGCCTTCAGACAGCATAATGGCCGACTTGAATGATCTTCATCGGAAAATCATCGGCGTTTTTCAAACTTATATTCATGGATGCCTCAAGTTGATCCAAAATTTTTTAGATTGAAAGATTACGTATTCAAATTTATCAGAGCGGAAGTAACAACACACTTAAATATTTTTTGAAAATTGTGGGAAAATATTTAGAAAGGAAAGACATTTCTGAGAGATGTAAATGAAATAGTAAAATCGTCGAAAAAATTTTGAAATTTTCAAAGAAAGGTTCGAAACCTTCTTGAATAATATTTAAAAAAATATTGATATTAATTTATATAAAATTCGTAGGAGATGCAGGACCCATTTGTAAAAATGTTTTTAAATTTTGTAAATCTTAAAAAGAACACTTCCTGCGAGCTTCAAAGTCATGTCAAACTTGCCCACTGAAGGTCAGCGGATGGAATACGACTAAATGGCGCAGGGTTTGAAAAGAGGTTTCAAACGAATTTGAGAAAACAAATGTTCGAAAATAAACAATAAATGGCAGTCCATCAAGTTCGTTCTTTGGAGTTGCGATAACAATTCTTAATGTTTTTTGAGGCGTCAGGTATAGGACGTTGAAATCCCCACTTATTCATAGAGTGGAATAATAGATATTTTTAAAACACTTATCAATGAAGTGGTTGTTTCCGTCAGCTTTGCAAATACGTATTGCGAAGAATAAGTTGTATTTGACTAAGTTTTCATAAACAAATGAATCTCTCATTGATGTGATCTGTGTCGTTTCATGATCGTTTTATTGTGATCATGAAGCTGTTAGTGTATGATTATTGGAATACGACACGACTTTCTTGTTTGCGTTTGTCATTATTTCTGCAGGCTAATCGATATTGGTTTTTTAATGCTTATTTAAATCCGCAAGTGTCCATATAGTCCTGCCCTTCTTTTGAGTAATTTCCATGAATATTATTGTAATCATTATTTATTCGCTAATCGTTTTATTGTTAAGGTTTTCTCGTTTCAACGGTGTTAGATGCATCGAAAATTGAAGACGAACTGCGCGCTTTTATATACACGACTCGCGACATTGATCGCAATTGCGACTGCATCTTTTGCTGACAATTAGAGCTTGTGCCAAGGTTATTCCAATAAAAAGTTGAGAGTAGAGTACAATCGGCAAGTTGAATACTTTACTCAGCTTAGTCGCGTTTTTTCGAGTTTCTGGTAAAAACCAGCACCCGGGCCACGACACTCGTCGGAGACCCCATATTAACTGCTCGCAGCATCCTCTTGAGTTTTTTTCAATAACTCTATAGCTCCTGAAGTATTTTATTTAGGGCTAATACTATTGTGCTGGGCAAGTCTGCAAGTAGGGCTAACTAATGTTGTGGAGGCTGGTGTCGACACGCCATATGCAGGGCAAATTGACATTGTGCGAGGCCCGACTTTATGAATTCGTAAGTTTAAATAAGATTGTGCGCTGCCTGACTTTATGTAAGGCGAAATAATATTGTGCAAGGCCTGACTATATGTAAGGCGTAATAATATTGTGCAAGCCTTGACTTTATCCAAGGCGAAATAATATTGTGCAAAGCCTAACTTTATGTAAGTCTAAATAATATTGTGCAAAGCCTAACTTTATGTAAGTCTAAATAATATTGTGCAAGGCCTGACTTTATGTAAAGCGAAATAATATTGTGCAAGCCCTGACTTAATCTAAGGCGAAATAATATTGTCCAAGGCATTTTGGCGCTGCATTTTTTAATATTGTGCTTAAATTATTGCACAAACTTTATAAATTATCTTGAATTTTTTATCTTTACGAATGATGCAAATTGTCTTGTACTGCAAATTTAAGAGGTTGTATTGGTTCAGATAACCAGATTTAAATAGTTGATACAACGTCGAAAGTATATATATTCCTGTCATTATTTCAGTCAAAATTGACGTTTTCATTTCAATTTTCACCATTAATATTAATTTCAACTTTTGGTGAAGCTAAGGGCCTATTGTATGTTCTACGTCTTTTGAATGCACTCACTTGAAATGCCCGCAAGCGCGATCTTCATTTCATTATTATGAACTTCATTGCATGCTTCAATTATGGGGGAGGAGGCACATGTCTCAGCGTTTAGGGCTTCTCTCCAACTTCAACTTGTTTTCAAATGCAGTAGCGATGTGCATGTACGATTTGATTGAATGCAATAAATATTAGTTTAAATGGGTAATCAATTGAGGCCAAAATAAAAGCTTTTCACACTGACTGACAGATACAATAATTTATTAACATTTAGTTAGCTCTTGCTTTCTGCCTGTGCATTTCTTCGCTTTATGTTCGAAGGATTTTATGTCTTGAATATGCCCCAAAGATATCAAGGGCAGTTTTTTTCTGCGCGCTACAAAAAAGTTGCAAAAAACTAGTTTTGGCCTTAAAAACTCACTTATTTACGAAAGCTAGGAACTTGGCTCTGGAATGAAAAACACACTCGTAAAAACCAAATGTGGGATGAAGTTAACAATGCAGTCTCACTAGCGCCGGAGACTGGCTCGTGAAAGGATGGGTCCGACCAGTTGCATGGGGAACACTTCGTATCGTCCGGGGCGGCGCCCTGCGTTGTACACTCACGTGCCCGCCCGACGGAAGAGGTATAGAGACATATCACGAGCATGTTATTCGCCTCTTTTGTTTAATTATATTTCGTGGCCATGGGCCATACTTTCAAAAATCGCTAAATGAACGTAAGTACTTACGCTATATTTTCTTGGCCATGATTGGTGGATTTTGCTTAAAAGACCGTCAATGATTGGTTCATGAACATACGATCTCTCAACTTTTTTGAAAGTATAGGCCTTATGTCACTAAAGCGACTCGCGAGCGTCCTAGGATATTGTTGATCACTGCAGAGTTCATTTCTGTTACTCCTTCGTTCTAGTGTCTTCCAATTGGAAATAATCGCACGAAACACAAGCACGAAAGAACGTTGAAACTTTTTTACGCCTTAGCAACAATATCACTATGAAGATATTTGATGTCTGTTGAATTTTACGCCCTTTTTGCTTGATTATTTGGTTATTATTTCAACATGAGAATAGCGGGGGTATTTTTACCTGGGAATTCATCCCGTGTGTCATGATGGGACCTTACTCAGCTTGTGCTTTAGCTCGTGTTTATTTCCCGGGCTCCGCTTGTCGCTGCTCAGCCCAGATTATTCTTGGTCACTGAAGCTGTTGTTGTGGTTAGTGAAAACTTCGTATAAAATTTCGAATGATATTACACGGTCACCGCTTCTCTGCTACGCAGGAAGAGATTTTTTTAAGTTGAACGTTTTCGGTGCGAAACTTGAAAGTGGACTACAACTGATTTTGTTCTAACCTATTTTAAGTACTACTCATTTGACACTTTCGTTCATGCACCAGTGTACAGTGCGCAAAGGTTTTGAAAATAATTTATTCACCATAGACGTGGTTCCCCATGGTGTCGATTTGTTTGAGAATCATGGGTTCATTGTACAAAACAGTACGATGCACTTGGTGGAAATGTTTAATTTTTAGCGCATTTTCTCATTTATGGAAAAAATGCCCTATTGTGCTCGTCATGTCCCTCCGTTAAAGTAGGCTCGTCTAGTAGAAAACTCACACTGGTGCTTTTCATTTCTTATTCGTTTCCTTTGAATGGTTTTAACTGAAACGAAGACCGTAGAGAAGTCATGTATATGGACAAAGTATTCATCTTTTATTATACCTAATTCTTTTCTATGAATTATAAACATTGCATGTACGTGACTGCATTGCATGCCATCGCGTGGTCGTTGGGTCATTATGTACACATTACACCGAATAATTTTTTATGTACTAATGCCACAACACCGGGAAAAGGGCAGGCGACTAACTAACCTGATTATTCGTAAGCCAAGTTACTTTTTTCTCTAATTACACTTCGATGCCTTATAGGCTTGTTTTCGAAAAACAATTTTACGGAATATATCCTAACTTCTGGTGTTTATACCGTCTTCTAAACTTGGTCTGAATCTGAATAAGTTGCATATGATCCGAAATTCCAACGTATGCGATTACTAAATTATATATCAAATTCCTCCGTATATAATATCGAAAGTTCCAATTTCTAGGGCGGGTGAACGGCTTCAAATATTTAAGAGCGGGTTTGAACGATCACGTTTGCTTCGGGAATTCTATACTTCGGATATACTGTTGATTTATGAGTAAGGATTATGCTAATTGAAGAAATGCATTTGTCAATTAATGTTATCGTTTTTCTGATGAAATACGATGCTTATTTTCTGCAACCATGACTTTTTAGGACCATGAGGCGTGCTCGAACGACAATACGCTTGCCTCCTCTGATTGTTCACGAGAATGATATTGCATCGCAGAGAAAATAACCGTGATATAATTTCAGTCAAATTCAGTCAAAATTTCGTTAGTAGACGTTAATTCCAGTCTGATCTTAACGACTAAGAAAGTCAAGTTCAAATCAGTCAATTACAGTGAAATCTTTATTACTTGACGTTAAAGTCCTTTGATGAAAGTTGTAATGTGTATTTTTTTCTTTTCGTTTCAGCATGAGTATTCCGCGTGGCGTAACAGACAGCAATGGATTTCTGGTGAAGGCTCTACCTTCGGGTGAGCCGTGGCCCTTGCAGTCAGGCTTGACGCCGCTCTTCAAAGAGTCAAAAGTGGACACTTTACCCGGTGCTTTGAAGTACAGCGCAAACCTGCGTAGCGACAAGGAGTGCATGGCCACGAGGAAAGTCCTCGAGCGGCACCGAGTTGAGAAAGATGGCAAAACCTTTGAGAAGTTAACCCTTGGAGATTACCAGTGGTTGACCTACAGCGAAGTCGAGATGGCGGCCGAGTCCGTAAAGTGCGCTCTTAGTAACATGAATTTTCAAACTGGAGACCGAATCGCTATTTTCGCTGAGACGCGCGCCGAATGGTTCATTGCTGCCATGGGTGCTCTGAAGCTACGAGTTTCAGTGTGCACCATATACACTACCCTGAGCGATAAGGGCATCATTCACGTTTTGAATGAAGTTGAAACTAATCTAGTATTCACTTCATTTGATCTGCTGCCAAGGATGAAAAGTATTCTTGATCAGTGTCCTAAAGTGAAGGAAGTTGTGGTTATGGAAGACCAGCTTGAAGGTGTGGGAAATAAGGAATATCTTCCTAAAAACGTAAAGATCATACCGTTTTCCGAAATGACCGATAGGAAAAACACAAAAATCTCCAAATGTTCTGAAGTGGTTCCCCAGCCAGACGACGTCGCGATTATTATGTATACCAGCGGTTCTACCGGAACTCCCAAAGGTGTTGAACTAACCCACACTAACATCTTGGCAGCTGCGATTGGCTACTCTGTTCAAATTAGTATCGACGAAAATGACAGGTATTTAGCGTTCTTGCCGTTGGCTCATATCATGGAGCTTGCTACTGAAACAGCCCTAATCTCTATTGGTGTTACGATTTATTATTCTTCACCACACACACTAACCTCTACTGGGGCTAAAATTGCTAAGGGATCCGTTGGAGACGCTAAACTTGCGAAACCAACGGTTATCAATGTCGTGCCCTTGTTGCTCGACAGGATCATCAAGGGAGTCACACAGGCGGTGGAAAAACAAGGCTGGATAAAAAGTGCGGTTTTCAACACTTTAGTCGCCTACAAATATTGGCTGGACTATATTCCCTTGTCGTCGAGAGTCCTAAATTTCCTGATTTTTCAGAAAGTCCGAGATGAGCTGGGTGGGCAGTTGAAACGTGTCATCGCAGGTGGCGCGCCTCTATCCCCTCAAACGCACAATAATTTCAAGGCCATTTTTGGTTGTACCATCCAAGTGGGCTATGGCTCCACTGAAACCGCCTCTTTGGGGACCGGCATGAATGAAGATGACGACAGCACAGGCCATTGCGGTGGGCCTTGCCTTAATGCGCTTCTCAAGCTTGATGACTGGGAAGAAGGTAATTATAGGACTACAGACCTTCCTTTTCCTCGCGGCGAAATTGTTATTGGTGGTGTCTCAATTGCCAAAGGCTACTTCAAAAATGCAGCGGAAACCAAGAACGCGTTTTATGAGGAGAATGGGATTCGATGGTTCAGGACTGGAGATATTGCTGAAATCGACAACACAGGATGCGTCAAAATAATTGACCGCAAGAAAGATCTTGTCAAGCTCAAGCATGGCGAGTATGTTGCACTTGGTAACGCCGAAACTATCTTGAAGACTCTAAATGTGGTGGATAACATGTGCATCTTCGCAGATTCTACTCAAGATAAAGTAGTGGCAGTGGTGGTGCCCGTTTTGGACGTGCTGCGAAAGCTCGCTGCCGGCGTTGGAATTACAAATCCAGACTTGACTCTAGTGGATCTTTGCGAGAATGACAAGGTAAACATGGCTGTTCTGAAAGAACTGCAAGTACACGGACGTCGCTGCGGACTTACGCGCTGGGAAATACCAGCAGCCGTGCACTTGACTGACGAGTTGTGGACCCCTGATACTGGTCTGGTAACGGCGGCTCTGAAATTGCGACGGAAACAACTTGATCAGCAATACCGATCCATGGTGGTGGACATGTACTCTCGCTTAGCTGACTAAACGTTACAGCTGTCATGAAGTTACACAAAGTCTAATGATCAACAAGTCGCGTATCAGGGATGAAAAGACACGGGCGTTGATTCAATGTGCATTACCAAAGTCTGTGGCTTCATTTGGTTCACTGAGACAAAACGACTCGTTTTATGGCTTTATGTTGGCGCGCCTGTAATTTGACAGGGCCAAGCTCCCAATTGTTATTGGGAGCAGGGTCTATATTACTGTTCATTGTTTCATTTCAATTCGTGTTCAGTGTATTTTGTTTGAAGGTAATCTGGTCTATGGCCTAAATGATTTATCGTGGTTGGATGAAGTTTGAAACAAAATCAATTTATGTGGGTAAAAGCTGTAATCATTTCACTGTTAATTTACGTCAATCTTGAATTTCATAATTCTTGAGAAATCTCGTGAATTCAAAGGTAAAATTTCAAACCCAAATTTTAGCTTTACAATTTCGTCAATACTTTTTGTACTCTGTAGTCATTATGTCTGTGACTAGATCTCGGGTTTATAAATCCTTTCCTTTGTGAACTATCGACATAGAGCATCTTTTTATTACTCGTTTGTTTTTATTACGTTTATTACTTTATGATATTCACAACAAACATTCCGCGATATTCATACAGACATAGTTTTACGATTTATTTTGACGCATCGTAAAATTTCTACGTTTTTTATAACCTTGTGAATAGTTTTGTTTTGTATTCTTATTTATATCATCAGCTGAAGATAGCTTTGCATCTCGAAGGGATACATATGGTACCTTTTAGCAAAAATAACAAAGTTCAATGTTTGGTTTTATATGATTGGGCATTTTACGTTAGTTGAACTCGTATCGTTATTGCAGTCACTGAAGAACGCTATCCTCCATCGGCTGTATTCTTTCGGCAAAGCTGTGCTCGTTTGCTTGAACTCACTAGCGATCGAACAATGAGACACCCTCTGAGCGATATATAGCTACCCTAACTTGTTTTCCATATTCAACATAAGTTAAGAGACCTGATCGCCCTGCTTCTGGCCGTTGATCTATAATCGACCCAGATTATGCTCTCTGTCACGTGTGCTCGTCTCGAGCTTGCTACGTTCCAATTAACTATGCGTCATGGTGTTGTATTACCAATAAATGTTTTTTTTAACAATTGCCACAACTTGAGTCTTTAGCCTGCTTAGTGCTAAGAGATGCAATGCCACGCACGAAAACTGTGACCTCGTTTGTCCTAAACTGACGATCCATGGGTTTATCAATTGAAGACTTCATTTAGTAGTATGTGATCAAAGATTTATATCCGTTTTTTTTTCCTCTTATAAAAATCTTCACCTTACCTACGAGGTGACATGCCATTACACGATGTGTGCGCGTTGATGAATAAGGCTCTAATTCGCATTATATTGATAAAAAAGGTACCAACAGAAATTGAAATTTTGCACCGCTGATGTGAGAAGGCATTTATTCTCTGCCTCTTCTATGATCTCAGTGCTTCTTTACTTCAATCTAATTTTCTCGGAACATGTTTCGTCGTCAGTTGATCGTTCCTGTTATAAATGTTGGAATGATTGTAGAGCGTCCTTCTTACTACATATAGCACGCATCCTTCCATTGTATGCACTCAGTCCGTGGTTTGGCATAGCACTCCTTTGGATGTATGAGGATGATGTTCTTGTTGTTTGTGTTGGTGATAATGACTAGTTTGCTGCAAAATATATGCACTGGTCCCTTATGCGAAAAACTGCGGGTATGTTTATTTGCAAGCTACGGTAGGTGTTTCTGATAAATGTCCGTGCTTGAATTTCTATTGATGTAGAGAATTAAAGAGGAAGCTATGTGTTCGTTCATTTTTACAATTTATTTCCGGCGAGTTGAATTAGCTTTAAAGCATTCCAGATCATTAGTAACAAATGAGAGCTTTAAATTTGTAGCGATAGTTTCCGTTCGAGAAGATAGCAGGCTTCTATGTGGTGTAACTCTCTGCAAATTAAGCATATTTATCTATTAATATAGTATAATTAAATTATATCATTGCATTACTCGACCGCTCGTCGATACTTCGGTCGGCATTGTGTAGAAGACAAAGCGTGGTCCTGCAAAACCCTTCCATTTCCCTATATATGTATATCATAGATTAGTAGCACAGCCTCATGTAGTCACATGTACTATCTCAAGTATAACGTAAATTGCAATTTTATCCCCGAATAACTAATAATGATTGTATTAACTGCCTTCATTTTAAAGGCAGCTATGAGGTATGAGTAATTCATTTCTGAACCTATATGAACTCGAACCGATTAACGGAAGCACACTACAATCTTCGCTTATTTGCGTCTTCATTTCTTGGTGATAGTTACGCTGATATCGCATCATGAAAGCGTTTAATGTGACTTACCATTATAATATCTACACATAAATGTTGAAAAGTGTCGGATGTGATAACGTGATAACGACTAAGATTAGTTTTTTTTTTTGCGGAGTTCAGGAAAACGAGTTTCACTTAATGAACAGGACAGAAATGAGCAAACAGCAGCCGAACTGAAAAAAAAATCGGAGCTTTGAGCTATGTAGTTCCAGTGAAAATTTATTCCCTATAACCATGACGGGTCATAGAATCCATGTGAACGTTCATGTTGCAATGTTAGAAAATTGCCTTTAAAATTATTGAATATAATAATTCATTGAATGTAATTGTCAAGTGATTGAGGTTTAAATTAAGAGTGTTTTAATTTACGGCATTATAAAGTGAATGTGGATTAGATTACTAAGTGAAAATTCTGTAAATTCCCTGTTGCATGCGCTGTGATTTTTCTCCAATGATGCCTGTATAGTTCTTTTGCTGTGCTTTTTTTCAGCGAGCGATTGACCCGCCGATTTCGACATTAGAAATCAGGCAACTGACTGACAATGGTCAACGGACTGATATTTGTCAACTGACAGACATTGGCCAACTGACTGACATTGACCGCCTGACTAGCTTCAGACCACTAACTGACATTGGCCGACTGACTAGCTTCAGACTACTGACCGACATTATAGAGAACTGACTGTCAGTAGACAACTGACTAACGTTAGGCGAACGGCTGACATATTGGGCAATTTAATTGTTGATTAGAACTTCGACAAATGCGGAATATATTTATTATGGTACGGTATTCTTTGTCTGCTTCACACAATTAAGGGTTAATATGGAAATATTTGTTATGCTTCTGTAACCTGTAGTCATGTGTCATCACCTAAAAAATAATTAAATCCTGTAATCTCACTTTGTTATGCTCTATCCTATACCCCATTAGATTGCACACCAGGCACGCCCTCTGGCGGACTTAAGCAATTATGCATCACGAGAAAGGAAAATGTATTATATACTTGACGATCTCCTTGGTCACGTATTTATATTCTCACTTGCCCTGATTTATCGTGGAAAGTTAGTGAGTTGCCGTGACATCGATCATTTTCTCCATTATAACAATGATTTGTTTCTGGAAATTGGATGTTGCGGTGATCGTTGTTGGTTTTTTATGAACTTATAAAAACGCTTAGGAACATTACTTGCCTAGTCAATATTCACCGGTCGAAAATTTCAGAAGCACCTAATAACAGTTATTCTCACATGTTTCCCCTATGAATTTAATTTTAAAAATATTGTTATGATGCATCCATGGACTGTAATAACTTAGTTTTTCTAAATTCAGATGGAATTTGGAAGAAGAATTTTAAATGAGTTGCATCTATTTAAGACAAAGAGTGCCGAACAGGTTCCTGATAAGAGAAGTTACCTGAGGGCTTCATACGTCAAGGTTTTAGAGTTATTAAAGTCGCCTGTAAAAATTAGTGTCGTAAAGTTAGCAAAAACGCTCTGAACTCGGGGCCTCTGTCTGGCCTTCAGCAGACGCCATTCACTGGCCTACTAAGACTCGCGCATTTCAAGCATTCAACGATCATCATGTGAGTTACGAATACGATTTCTAGTTTGCTCTTCATATAGTATTCACCATTGGATAGTAACCTTATCGCGGCTCCTAGAGAAGCATATTTTTTTTCATACTAGCGCCGTTTCGATTCGAAATTTGGAATCTAGCGTCAGTTGTATGCAAGAACAAACGGTTAAATTGCGACCATGTTATGACCAAGTGTTTTCAAGATGTATTACTGACCATGGCCTGGCGTCAAAATAGGACCATGTATGATCAAATACCGTACTATTGACGAGTGCTTGGTGTTAAATTGTGATACGGTTGAAGATAAGATATGACGTTGTAGGAGTTATAGGATCACGTAGAAGTTGGGACCAAGTATGACTAAATACAGTGGCTCTGAAGATTGTTCGGTGTTAAATCGGGCTTGTCAAAGAAAGAAAAGCCAGAGAAACTCGAGTGCTGCATAGAGGTAACAAAATGCTAACGGAGTGCAAATCATTTCGGTTCATCTTTGGCTGTGATGGTAATGCGTTGCAATTTTAATTTAAAACTCTCGCTATATTTAGGCTGGTTTCCTTAAAGGAAACATCTGTGGTCTCTTAGAATCATAAGTAGCAGGGTTGTGAGATAATAATGTGTACGAATCTAAGAGAAAATCTTCAATAGCTCACATTGTTCCTCGTCCCCTGGATGAAGCTGTACGGGGAAAAAAATACCGGAGTATGACATTAAATAAGTTCTGATCAGCAGACTTAACTTTCTTCAAAACCTAATAATGTCGGTATCGTATCCTTCAACTTTATGTTGAAAACAACTTGATGTTTTTTTAACATTATTTTGCTTTCTCGACGTTAGGTTCTTTCTCATATCCATGCTTACATGCAAGATTGCTTGAGGAAGGTTGTAGTTATTGGACGCGAAGTTACCTCGTGACGTGTGGTTGTTATTGGCTTTCAGTAATTGGTTTGTTGAAGAATTACTTAATTCTGCTCTGAGCCGATTAATTAACGCCAGTTTTATATGGTCACCGGGTGCTTCCAAGTCTGTTGCACTGGTTCGAGCGGCGGTTCTGCATTCGGTCGTAGAAATTTATTCATTGCGAATTTTCAAATGGTGTTCAACTTATTTTTAAATGGTACTCGGAGATTTCGAGTTCTATTTACAAGTTAGTTACAAATGGAAAAGCCATTATCCGGATAATTTTTAACAGACCTGAAGGACTCGAGAGTTCTACTGTTGATCGAGCAAAGTTGTAACCTGGCCCCGTGTCGAAATTTCAATGATTTATCAATTAGGTTCCAGGCTGAACTGTCAATTCGGTTGATTATGCAGATGAATATTGTCGTAAATTTTTATACATGTGTCCGATACCTTCACTCATACAAATTGATGAAAATTATAAGATTTTCTTCTAGTGGCTAGTCCCATGTTCCAACGAAGTCAGTTGTTATTTTACTGAAGTTTTGGGTAGTCGTATGCACACACGAGTCATGGAGACAACAGAATCGGTTACACTGTTTAGGAAGTTAGGATGCGTTATTAATTGAAGACATTCAGTGCTTGTACAACGTAATTGCGTTCGTGAAGTCGGCAGTCGCATATCCAATAGACCAACTGTTTCTGATCAGATTGGCTAAAAAGACTGACCGGACTGGCGGCAGTATTTAAACGATCAGTTCGTGTGGTAGCTTATTAAGTTAGGTTGAACATCGTCCCAACAGATGTTCAGGTTTTCTGATCTATGTTCAGAGCTGGGCAGCGCTACTTTGAAATGTAGCGGCCGCTACCGCTACATGCTCTAAATGTAGCGGGCGCTACCGCTACCGCTACATTGCTTTAAATGTAGCGCCGCTACCACTACCGCTACTGAAAATGTAGCCGCTGCAAGTAGCGGCCGCTGCATGTAGCGCGCTACTGCCCACCTCTGGTAACAACTAACATGTTGACACTAGTAACAGGCTGAAATTGACAACATTTCACCGAAATCTTTCGTACAGCTAGTTTTATTCTGTAATTTATATTTTGTATGTATCATGCTGCTTTTTACATAATATTTAATACTATCAGGTAAAATCTAAAGGCATTATCTATAAATGTAGCGGTAGCGCTGTAGCGGCAAAGTCTCGTATCGCTACTTAAATATGTAGCGGGCGCCACCGCTACCGCTACATTGCTTTAAATGTAGCTCCGCTACCGATACTGAAAATGTAGCGGCCGCTACATGTAGCGCGCTACTGCCCACCTCTGTCTATGTTGTCACATGAAGGTCGGATAATATTCTCATCAAACTAAAGCGCGAACAAATTGTACAGCAGCAAATGATAACATTCGATCGACAAAAGTTCTTGATTCACAGCAGCCTCCGCATAACTCTACGTAATTAGAATGATAATCTCTTTATTGATTACAGATTTGTATTATTACAAGTTACCATTGAAGAATAATACGAACTGTTCTGAGATTCGTCCAAGCATTAAAATGCCGATCGGGAATTTAAATTATACTCATTATTTATATTAGATGAAGAAAACTCATTACTTGTATATCATTCGTTGCTGCTTCGTTCCTTTTAGAGGTTAATTAAAGTGAAACCGCAACCGATATGTTTTGATGAAATCTTGTTTTTAGCGTACATAAAGTTTTGTGCCAACTCAGAATTGTGTTTGCTGCTTTTCCAGCCAGTAATAAACCGCATTCGCTCTCATCTTCATCGTATGCCTGGGGACGCGATGGCATAGGAGGTTAAAGTACTTGATTTTATTACCTGCGTGAACTCAGTTACTTCTAGTGTACGAGTTATATTCTAGTTATTATAGTTTACAGTATTGTAAGCGAGTTGTGTGTCTGACGTGAAAACTCAAGCTTGGGATGAAAGGTCGATTTTATGCTCGGACTGTCTGTACAACAGATCTGAATAAGTACGTTTTTATGTGTTCATAATCATGTTTTCACTGTTTTTGTTTGATATTTATTGAAAAATCTAAAAATTCCTTGCAGCGCCTGCAATTTCTCTACTTCACTTGCCCAATTTTCAGTTTGTCTTAATTTTTTCCTTATGCAAAGAAACTATCGAGAGAAATCGTGAGCGTAAAGACAAGAGCATCAATATTGAATGTAATTTTGTTCTTAACCACCGACACTCAATGCTCCTCACCTGCTGGTTTATCTCACGAGATGGAATTTTCAATTTCATGATTGAACTTATTTTTTGGTTTAATTAGCAATTTTCTTTGTACATAAAGTATTGGATTTTATTTATTTTATGCTTTACACTCTGATATAGGATATGATAATAGCCAGGTTTCTTATAGTTCGCATTTTATTCAATGTATTTTATTTCAACTTTGCAGGATGTCTGGCAAGCAAGGAGTGCTCGACAGGAAAGGGTGGTACGTGAAGGCGTTGCCGAGTGGGGATGAATGGCCTCAGGACCTGAGTTTGGCCCCCCAATTTAAGCAAGCAAGAGTCGACACTCTGCCTGGCGCCCTTAAATTTGGAGTCGATAAGTTCACCAATAAAGAATGCATGGCAACAAGGAAGCTATTGGCAAGACAGCGAGAAACTGTCGATGGCAAAATAATCGAAAAGTTGTCATTCGGCGAGTATACCTGGAGAAAGTATAGCGAAGTTCTCGAGTGTGTCGAGCTCGTTGGATCGTTCATGTTCGAGCTGGGATTTGGCATTGGTGACAGAATCAGTATTTTTGCCGAGACCAGAGCTGATTGGTTCATTTCAGCAATGGGGTGTCTCCAGCAGAGGGTTGCCGTCTGCACCGTTTACACAACTCTAAGTGACGACGCGATAGTGCACGCTCTCACTGAAACTGAAGTTAAAATGGTGTTCACGTCGTGTGAAGTCTTACCACGACTTTCGCGCCTGCTAAAGAGGTGTCCGAATGTCACGAGAATAGTTGTGATGGAAGATCAACTCGACGGTGTCGGTGACACTTCACACGTGCCAGAAAGCGTTTCTATTACACCATTCTTGCAAATATTGAATTCTGGGAAAGTGAATCCATCTGCACGGCTCGTCAACCCAAAGTCCACGGATGTAGCAATTATTATGTACACGAGTGGGTCGACCGGAACACCGAAAGGCGTTGAGTTAACACATCATAACATTATATCTTCGGTTGTTGCGTATTCGTGCCAAATGCAAGTTGATGAAACGGATCGCTACTTGTCATTCCTGCCACTTGCTCACATTCTTGAGCTTGCCTGTGAGGTGGCCCTTATTGCTTTGGGAATCACCATCTATTATTCATCTCCGTTCACTTTAACTTCGAGCAGCCCAAAAATAGCTTCGGGATCAGAAGGCGATTCTATTCTGGCTCGTCCAACTTACATGAACTCGGTACCACTGATGCTGGACCGAATTTTAAAAGGAGTATCACAAGCTGTAGAACGGCAAGGGCGCGTGAAAAAAGCAATTTTCTATGCAGTTGTAGCCAATAAACAGTGGCTTGACCGGATCCCATTTCTGGGTAAGTTTCTTGATGGTCTAATTTTTCGTAAAGTTAGGGCTGAACTGGGCGGATGCCTGAAAAGAGTCGTAATTGGTGGAGCTCCTCTATCGTCCGAGACTCACCTCAACTTTCGCGCCATTTTTGGCTGTACCCTCCAAGTAGGCTATGGATCAACAGAAACTGCCTCCTGTATCTCAGGAATGGTTGAAGAAGACCCTACAACGGGTCACTGTGGAGGTCCATGCCTCAATGTCTTCCTGAGACTAGCAGACTGGGAAGAAGGAAACTACAAATCGACCGACAAACCCTTTCCTCGTGGAGAAGTCTTGATCGGAGGGCCTTGTGTTGCTAGAGGCTACTTTAAGAGGCCCGACGAAACGAAAGAGACTTTCTTCGAAGAAGGTGGCGAGCGATGGTTCCGAAGTGGGGATATAGCCGAAATGGATAATCTTGGCCGAGTTCGGATTATAGATCGCAAGAAGGATTTAGTGAAGCTTAAACACGGAGAATACATTTCTCTGGGAAATGCAGAAGCTACATTGAAGACATTGAACGTCGTTGACAACATGTGCATATTTGCCGAATCGACGCGTGACAAGATTGTCGCAGTAGTAGTTCCAGTTTTGGAGGTTTTGCGCAAAATAGCTACAAATGTTGGTTTCAAAGACTCTGACATGACCTTGGAACACCTCTGTCAAGATACATGTGTGAATAACGCTGTACTCAAAGCACTTCAAGCGCACGGGCGTCGTTGTGGGCTTTCACGGTATGAAATACCTGCGGCTGTCCGCCTCACCGCTGAACTCTGGACCCCGGATAGCGGGCTAGTGACAGCTGCACTCAAGCTGCGCCGCAAACAACTAGGCCAGCAGTACCGGGATATGGTGAGAGACATGTATACATGTCTGGGTGACTAAAATGCAACATTTTAAGAACTTGGCCAGCGGTATCAGGATATGGTGAGATACGTGTATACACGTCTGGGTGACTAAACGTCACATTATAAGAACTTGGCCAGCAGTACCGGGATATGGTGAGAGACATGTATACATGTCTGGGTGATTAAAACGCCACATTATAACCAGCAAAACCAACATATGGCGTGAGGTACGTACACCTGTTAGGTAAACAACAGTTTCGAATTCTTTTTAGCAATACCAGCATATGATGTCAAAAATATTACGCATCCAAGTGGCTAAGGCTTTAATCAAGCCATCAGTGTCAGGAAACATGTACACATGTTTGGCCGTCAATTCCTGCTTATAAAAATAGGCACGCTGAGCTCCTACAGCTTTCAACAAGTCTGTTTCTTTTCATTGTTTCCCAATCTTATTATCTTTCCTATTATCGAGTCAATTCGAATTTCACTAATCAATTTTTTATTAATTATCCAACTATCCAATTTGAATTTCACTTCAAATTATTATTAATTATCCAACTAGCCAATTAGAATTTCACTAGACAATTTATTATTAAATATCCAACTAGCCAATTCGAATTCCACTAGAGAATTTATTATTAATTATCCAATTAGCCTATTTGAATTTCACAAAGTAAAGATACTTCCCAGCGCCCAGCTGTGCTTCAACTATTTCACTTGTTCAACTCCTTAATGCACTTGTTCGACTCCTTATATATTTATATGTGATGCACCTCACGATTTTCTATTACGCGATTCAAATATTGGAGGTTTGTATGCTTGATATATGCCATGGCCCATATGCCATTCTATGACTTGTGCGCCATAGTGTTGAGCCAACGGGTTGATCTTGGAGAGAGAAAAAGTGAAGAAAATGCACTCGACTCAGTCGACTGTTACCCCCGATAACATAATAGTAAAATGTTTCTTTGTGAAATGATGTCATTTACGAAGTGGTAATGATGGTGAAATTTCCTATGACTTTTGTTCACAGCTTTCATCGAAAAGTAGGACACCAATTTGAAAGGTTATAATTCTGTTTCTCTATTATTATGTTAGAAATGCAAGGACTTAGGACTCAGTATTTTGCGTTGCCCTATTAATTGTATATCATTTAATTCTTATTTGTATAGTTGTAATGTGGGCATTGATAATTTATCAGTTTAATCTATTTTTTGCTCGATGTATTTTCTATCTAATCCGAATATTGGATGAAATTTACCATGTGATATTATAATCTATTAAAGTGTATGTAAAGATATTGATATCAACGATTTTGCGCTTGTTATCGTCACCTAACCTTCAACTCAGTCGTCTGGGTTAATCTTACCGAGTTGAGTCAGTCGTTCGATATGAAGTAAACTAAACGCTAATTAAATTTGTTTTACAAAATCAAGAATACGGCCAACTTTCACGGAACCGTTATATTTTAATTAATGGATGAGCAGTGGACCTAATTGGTATGTCTTCGATATAATTGTTACTTGGAACGTATATTCTACCACGAATTGTTTAGTCTTGTAATCTCGACGAATGCATCAGTTAGTGAGCAATTCGTAAAGAGGCGATTTAGTATATTAAGAATGTTAATTCGATATACGCAATAGTGTGCTTAGGACAGCGGTTTAAGTAATATTTGAAGCGCGGTTTAATAGAGCGTAGCGTATTAGCATTCTTTCATAAACTTTAGTCGAAATTTATACGATTAATACACAAACATGTTCAATTGTCACTTTGAATAATCACTTCCGTTTTTTGGCGTCATTTTATAGATTTATTCATTGTCTACTGAATTGCTTCACATTTGACTATACAGAAATGTTAACATTCTAAGCCTGGCCGCCATTAAAAAATTTAGAAACCAATTTACTAGCGCCTATAGCTAGGCTTAGGACACTCTTAAAATACTTGGAGGTGTAGAAGAACGAGATCAACTCAAATATCTTAGAGCGATAGGGTTCCCTGCTACCAAAAATTGTTTGCCGTCCAACGAGTCTGCCTCGACAGTGTCGAGCCGATATCCAGGGCGGCTTCTGTGTTCAGAACTTGTGATTTTCACCTTGTGAGGAACTCTACTAGCTCTATTGGATGTATAATAATGACAGTTCTTTAGTTGACAGAGCGAGTGCTTGTTTACCTATGCTTATGGTGAACTCTTTGTGCTCGACGCTTCTGATCGACCTAAGCACGCAGTTAGCAATGTGGACCATTGTATAACATAAACATTCCCGAATCCTCGATTAGGTTTATTTCCGTTTAATGATATTAACGTATTCTCGATTTTGTACCTGTCTACTCAATAATGTTCTTGTATCCTCGATTATAATATCTGCTATGTTATGTACGCGTATCCTCGATTAGTTTAAGTCTTCCCAATTATGTTTTTGTATGATCGATTAATTTACTGTCTGTTCTATTATGTTCGCGTATTAATTATCGATTAGTTTACTGTCTTAACTATTATTTTTATCTATCGTGAGTAAGGTCTCTCACTTAGTTTCTAATAAACCATGAATGAAATTTTGTAATTCACATACGAGCTTGAAAAGTTTGTTTACTCAAATACTGTTTCGTAATTTCTTTATCTGTATCTTTGCCGAGAACATAAATTTATAAGTACTAAACTACTGTTCAAATGTCAAGTTTGTATTAATTTTTAGTAAATTCTGCCATAATATGGCTCATGTTGAACAGTATGTAGCTATTTCTTGTTTGTTCATCAGAAGCCTAAAGCTTGCAAGGGCAAAATTGCAAATTTTGTTGGAAATGTAATCACGTAGCAAGTCTAATAATAACGACACGGTGCGTGCTTGCTTTGCACGTGACCCGCAGAAAGAATTCTTCAAATAGAATCCAAATTCGGTGGACGGTGATGAGTTTGTCACGGTAATTCTCTCCAGGAAATGATCGGGGATCATCATTTGCGGACGTGTTTTCGAATGCTGGCGCACTGGTCTAATCTAATGGTAATACTCTTCTACATTGGGTCTTTCGAAGAAGCAAAATCTATCACGTATTGTAGGATTATCGATACATGCTTTGAAGAAGATGCTATGTTTATAACGAAATGAATATCATACAACATGTGAACACTCTCATATTGCAATGCTTTAGCAATAAATTCAAGTCTACTTGCTAAAGTTCGGTAGCTGGTATAGAACGGATCTTTCGTAAATGGAGTTCTCTTTTGAAGTCCTATAGGAATTTTTAGCTAGTCTCGTTGCGTCATTGCTTAGTATGCATTTTGCTGAGCCATCTGCGTAGGCCCGAGGGCTGGTAGTTTTATGCAACTTATTGCTTAATAAGTAATTGGTAGAATTGTTTCTACTATAGAGACGAGTTCGTTTACAGTAATGGCTTGCAGTATCACGTAGAACTTTTTCCAATGAATTCTTTTCTCGACTCGTAAAAGTAAAATCACGATGAATCGTCCGAGTGGATGTGAGTTGTTTCAAAACCGAGAATTTGCAGTTGAAATAGAATTTGACTATGTGCTTTGAATTACTTGAATTCCACTATTGGTCCAATTAAGCTATGTATAGATACTCTAAATGGGCAATGTTGCTTCTCCCAGCTGGACAGTATAAAAAGTCAAGAATTTGTGTAGAACATGTTTTTTAAATTGTTTACGAAGGCAGGAACCGACCTTACTTTTGTATCCATTTCACGTTGGCGATGAAAACTTATAGTGTAAGAGAACCAAGGCATATTTGAGTGAACCCCTTCATTCGTGAACCAAAATGTGATGCCAGACAAACTGTTGTACGGTAACATCATGCAGGGTAAAAGCTGATAGACTATCTAGGATAAACTGGCAGCATTAAGAATATTCGAAGACGACGTCATCTCAACTGTTATTTACATTAATCATGAGTTAAATAATGTATTATATGTACTCCAATTAGTAATAATATTAGTTGTGGATAATCTCAATTGCTTGCCTTAACTTTTCTCAAGCCAAATGATTTACTATCATCAAATGATAGGTGGCCATTAGGGAGGCACATTGCTAGCTGATGAAAGTAATATCGTGGCGAAGAAAATAAATGCACAACGATAGAGCATGTAATTAATCGTTCAGAATTTATTGAAAAGAAAATAAACTATCCCGCTTAAGCTGCCCACGGAAGAGGCTATCGAGCTGCCCCACCCCTTAAGTCACACGCCTTATCTCGTCACAACACTCGTCCTAGATAGAAATTAGGTTCATCATGACCATGGATAAATCGTCAATTAATTACTTATTAAATTATTACGTTGAATATACATCGTTGAGATTAGTTATCACATGCGTAAATCATCAGTTAAATTTGTTTTTAGTAATCATTTATTACTTAAATTATTTATTAGTTAAATCTCTTATCAGTTAAATCAATCATCAGCTAAATCAGTTAAATCAGTGAGGCACCGAGAGAGATATTGGCCCGTATCCTAAATACGGCACTAGCACTATGAAGTAGCACTACGCACTACAAGCCATAGTGCGGCATGAAACACTACGGTTGGTATGCTAAATAGGGCCAAAAGCATAACGCGCACTACAAAAATCTGAAGTGTCCTACACACCGCACTTCACGACGATACTACGTTATATTTAACCTTGTTTACTTCGTCAGCTATGGATCTGTTTGGCTTACAGCAAAGGCATCATCGCGTAAAAACCTCAGGAACAGAATGCCATGAATATAAAAAAGTGTACCGCTTCAGTGAACAACATGTTATTCTTATGGCTGACATTTTCCTTGGCGAAATAGATGAACAGCGTAGAAGTAAAAAATACTTTTCTTGTTTTTGATACCATGTTTTGAATTTTATTTATTTTTTTTCTGGAGTCATTTTGAATTCTTCTGGAAGAACTTTCCATGCTTCTCTATTTTGTTCGATGTCTTTGGTAAGCGTGGACTTTGAATATATGATGGGAAAGGAGCGCAGACGCATTGCGAATTTAAGCTCACCATCATAATTTTCATTAGTACCATTACCATCACAATTAAACATTTTACATCAATCTTCTGCAAAGAATAAGAATTACTTAGGGAATAATTAATTATTTGAGCACTTAACTACCATTCATCAATAGACTCTTGGCGTAGTGCGGCACTATAAAGTACTCTAACAGCGAAGTAGCACTTCAAAGTCTTTCTGCAATCTGCATACGAATCAGTAGTGCGACACTAAGCGACACTAAACTTTGTAGAGCTACTTCGAAGTGCTTAGTGTCTGTGACGTATTTAGCATACCAACGGCAACAGGATACTTCGTAGTGCGTAGTGCTACTTCGTAGTGCTAGTGCCCTATTTAGGATACGGGCCACTGACAGTTTTTCATTCAAAGCAATCAAATTAAAGTTAAACGGAAATTTTTATCGTCTCTCGATGCAAGTAAGTATATTCATAAATAATTGATCGTTTATGCCTCTTATCGAGAATGTGAGAAGATGCAGCAAGCCAGTGCAAGGGGATAGTGCTGTCGGTAAATAATCTCATCCTCATGACGTCGATAGGCTCCAGACACTGAGTGAGACCTTACCAGATCCGCCCTGATGTCCATCTGATGTTCAGCACCTGGACTGATGGCTTGACGTTCCAATGAAGCAATTGTTTTGATTACTAGCACACTTTTCTGCCAAGACGATGGGTGGCATTAGGGAGGCACATTGATCTTCATTATGTCGTCTATATTCGCATCGATGACGTTCTCGTGTTTATTTTAGGGTTGCAGAGCATAAAGGGAGAAGTTATAGGACTGGGCAGTTACTATCGCGCTCTCCTCAATCGGCTGTGCGCACTCACGCCGAAACGTGAAACGTTCAAGTGTCCTACAGTGACTTTAAGGTTTTAGCTTCTAGTTTTCGTGCTTCCGATCTGACCATTTTAGAATCGCTGAATATTTTCAAAGAGAAGCCTAGTTTAACTGCAACCTTTAGCTCACATCCACTAGAAATTGTGGATAGGTTTTTACTCGATTAATCTGTCTTTTCTTTGTAAATTCATGTTTGAACTTCTATATGTAAATTCATGTTTTAATTCTATATTTTTTTAGTTTGAATTTTGATTGCATTATTTTATTTTGTGTTTTGCCTTTTTGGCACTGATGATGGAGCTGGACTCGAAAACGTTTTCAATACAGATATGGTGAACTTCTGTGGAGTTTTCTTCGCTTTTAAATTTTTAGTGAATTTTCGATGTAGAACTCATTGAACTTACATTTCTACGATTTCGAATTTTTTTTCTTACTGCGATGCGCGGTATATTGAATTACGATGGCCTCATTACTATAAAATGATGTTGCCAATAAAAGAAAGTAATAATATTAGTATTAATCAGCTCACGACGTATAATCAAATTATTTTCTGTGCAGCGTCAGCAAAAATAATGGCTATAACTGAATTTATAAATTTTAATAACCTGTACTGAACTGATTAAACATATATCTGAATACCCATTGCTATGAAAAATATTATAATTTAAATTTAAAGTAAGCTGATCACTGAACTGGATCGTGGTCACCCGTGTCTCTTCCGCTGCTGGTTGAGCGCCGAAAAAACAGGAAATAAGGGGAGCGTCAGGGTAAGAAAAAAGTATTTATTAGATGAGATTAATTAATATGATTTAATACATTTATTTATATTAAATGCTAATTTTATATGTAATTAATACGCGCATGCATACGGTTTGTTGCATTAGAGGCGCCTTATCGGCAGCTCCAAATGAGCCCCAAAAAAGGGAAAAGCCAATTTTTTCCATTTCCTGACTCAAACGCTCCTCTTATACTTCAGATACAATTTATCCGCGGCTCATCAAATTGGCATGCGGCTCACCATCGAGCGACTAAAAGGTACAAGAAAACGTGCAAATGACAGCAATAACTCACGTGATAAGTGCCCTGGTCACTTTCGTGTTTGTGTTGTGTATAATTGTTATGAACTTGGGAGTTAAATTACCATGCTTACTCACAACAGATTTTGGGCAAATCATTGCTTTATATATGAATCATTTGTGGTATCGCTTTGTAGTAAAATCTCGTTCAATAAACGACGAAAAATCTCTCAAACTATATGATTCTGGTTACATCATATAAAATTTTTTGATAATGTAACCTTATTCTATAACACAATTTCCTTCTAAGTGTTATAGATATTTGTTATTGGAAGATGTAAAATTATATTAGACCCAACTAAAATAAAATCACATTTTATTCTAATCCGCATGTTTTGATAACATCGTAAGGTCGTCGACTCTTAATCAGGATTAACCAGAAATATCGTTTTCTATTGATTAATTCGAGTAATTGATTCGACAATTGACAATGACCGCCTTCCGTGCACTGTATTTTGATCACCAACATCGTGGCTATAACTTTAGCAAGTCGCTGATTGTTTGACGAGTCACATTGTACTGTGTTTTCAAACTTCCTCGTTATATTTTGATTGCAATCTTATTGTGTAGCTGCTTGGTGTAGCAATTGGGATTAACTTAGATGTCAAGCAAACTGTACGAACTTATATGGTCATTACTAGCGCGAGAAAAGGAAGTAAGAGTTCAATTCCAGGTTCTTTTGACTAAGAATCTTCTACAACGAAGTACAGTTTATAGGAAGTTATTTAGTGAATACATTCATCATAATATTTACAAGCGCTTTTATCCTTGCTTTAGTATAATAATATTTACTCGCTTTGGGTTATGGTACAGGCAGCTATAGGGATGCTTATGAAAAACGTTGCAAACAACAAACAAAAAGACGACATTCTTATTATATGTATGTAATCAATTGAAATATTACCAACATTTTTCACAAACCGATATTATTATAACCATTCATTTGCTCAATAATCACCGGCAGAGTTGCTTCTTCGCTTTTACTGTAT